GGTCTACGAGCATATAGACCAATCTGCCCTAAGCGTCTGTACACGGTCTGCCTTGAAATTGTCGTACCAGTGACTGAAGAGAGCTGACGAGACAGGTCTGAGGCTGTGCTCCGCCTGTTTCTTTTGGCAGTAACTGCCAAATACCGTTCTTCATTCGGTGTTGTTAACTCTGGGGCGACCTGTGCTGTAACGTTTACTCACATTACCATCATCTTGGAATCGTTGCCAAAGCCCGGAGATGACACTCTGGGCAATTCCAAGTTCGTCTGATATTTCGAGTTGGGTACGCCCACATTTTAGACGGCCGAAAATTCTACCACGTAAAAAATCATCCAAATGCGTCCTTTGAGTCATAACTATTCGGTTATTGCACTGAAATGCTTATAAAGCCCTGCGAACAATTGTACTTCCTTCCTTCCTTTTCCCACAATTGCCGTGTGTAGCTTGCAGATAGCAAGCTGCATACCGGCTGTCATGAATTAAAAAGTACATTGCAGGTATAGCAAATGCATGAGTGTGACCGGAGGACAGGATGCAAAATGAAAGAGGGTGTGACTACTTTGTCACGTGAGGCTATAGCGGCGTCTGGTAGGCTGGAGAGATAACAATTGTACTTCTTTGCCTGTATTCCTTATATATCACTCTCTTACACTCTCGTCATTGTGACGTACCATAGGTGTCATTTGGTTACTTCCTGAAATTTGCATACGATTCTTGAAGATGTGTGTAGTGATTTTACAGGTGATATATTTATTTTAGAGTTCGATTTCCGCGTGACTCCGAATTATCCTTAATTTATGGACATATATATATATATATATATATATATATAATAATTTATTTTTTAAACAATATTGATTAATACATATTTGGTGAGTTAGATAGAAGTCCCATATACAAAATTTTAACATTTTGAGGCTGCTCGTTTTTGAGTTTTGCGAGATATATACATAGGTAGTACGTGCATACCTACAGACGTGACGAAAAAATATCCTCTGAATCCCTTTCAAATACATTTTTCAATTCGTCTTTGGAAAAAAAGACATTTAATCCGTCTGTATATACCGATGTTACGCAAAGACATAGATTAGATGGATTCGAGAACGGTCAAAATGGATATTTTCGTTAAAATATGATATGCTAAATTTTTCGCGATGCTTCCTTCGTATAAGGAAGTCAAAACAAACCAAAGTGAAATATGACTGGGGACACTTGCATATTAAATTATTAAAGGGAATATGTTATATTTATCGTAAAGAGCAATGAAGTAATGTGCTTATAAACCATGAACATTGTTTCATGAAAGGGCAAAGTGCTGACTCATTTAAGGATGTTACGTTATACCTGTAAAATTATTTACATTGCAACTCTAAATGACATTTACGGTAGAATGAGCACATTTCCACTGCAAATGGCATTTTATGATTTTTGTAACACGTTGGATATTCATGGCCAACGAAAACAAGCAAGATATTCCGATATAAATATGATTACTTCCATTTTCAAATTAATTATATCTTAACAAGCCAGCTCTTTGAAATAAAGATATACGCATTTTAGCAGGAGCCAAGATGAAACCAATCTCGGCATCATTCCTCTGTTACGCCATAAAATATTCAAACTCTCACCAAAACGCCTCGCAAAGTTCTCATTCTAATTACAAAACTAGCCAGTCTAAAATACCTGATTGGAGTTATCATAATAATACTGGAAATTCCGAGTAGCGAGATGTGTTTCCCGAATAAGTGCAGTTGAGAAAGGGTACAAATGTTATTCCGTTTCCTGCATAATTAATAAGCGAAAGGAAATCCAGCTCAAAAGTTGCACCGAGCACGAAATTAGTTTCGAACTGCAGGATTACAGGAGCTTTTGCGGTGAAGGGTGAGCCTTCCACCTCATAAAACGGCACTTGCACGTGATTAATTATGTAAAGTTAATTACAAAAGCGCGATTTTACTCTCCTGTGCAGGGGTGGTTTTTAATGGAAAGAAGTGCAAAACATTCAAAACTTCCCAGTTAGGTTTTCATAGGTTGTAAATCAAGCCAAAGCGAAAGATTTCAGTAGGGTCTCTGCTTCCTTAAGTGGTTAATATGCCTCATTTATAAAGTTAGATGTAATTATTATTGCAGGAATTACCTGAAAATGTTTCCTGCAACTAATTATTTCCACTTCAGAGATCCTTACGTCTCCGAGTCGAAGAGCTACTTCCGCTTGTTTAGCACTCAAGGTACATCAAGGAATAAGTTTCTTGAGTTTACACTCCAATTATACAGCCGTGGTTTTATTAAAGAGGAACTATACATCAACTGTGAAGGTTTGGAAGCTAATATCGTATTTAAGCGGCAAATAAAATTCGAAATCCCACCTTTGATTGATTGTATACAACTCCATTTGTACGATTATTGCGCATTAATCTTTTATGTAATTAATCTTTACGTGTATTGCATTCTTTGCAGTTGTATAATTACTTTCGGAGCTAACGCGTAACACTTACGGATGTGGCTTTTTAAATAACCAGAACAAGATTAAATGTCTTCATTAATCAACAAATTTAATACTTTCTCTTGTGATAGGCTAAGTAACTTAATTAACCGTGATAAGTTTCTAGTACTGTGCGTATTTATAGAGATGTGCATGATTTTACCGTTCCAGTAGCATATTTTATAAGTTATGCTTGCGGATGTGTATTGAAATAACTCGGGAATAAATTTTTAACAAACCGGAGTTATAATTTAAGTGATTAGTTGCGTTTGGTTTGTTTCAAGATCAGATTAAACGAGGAAATACTTTTCGAAATTCATCTGAAAGTTTAGAAGATTTCTTTCGGCTTTATTAGTATAAAACATAAGTGGAATTTTATTATTTGTACTTCTTCAACACTGGGAGTTTACTTCCTTTCCCCTTAAGGGGACTCATACACATTAAAACCCATAAGATCTTCGAATATGTGATTGTTGCAAGAATTGGGATAACTTATTTATTTTAAAAGCAATTACTTCCAACTTTTTACAGTTGATTACATAATATAATATAGCTGCTTTCTGAAATAATAATCAGAAAGTTTGTGCTGCCACAAATATTTTTATAATTTAATCTGCTTTGTGACAAAATTTTTCGTCATGTTTCCACCTTGCGCGCACAGTTTAAAACAATCTTTTGCATAATTTAATTTCATATTTAATATATAGCTTTTATAACATTTGGAAACTACTGTGAACTTAAAATTTTAAGAATTTCATGTTAAATTTTTGTTTTATTTGGAGTTGAGTTTATAAAATGTATTTTATTAAAAAAATATGTAATGTTTTCGTGCATGATATTTTTAATACTAAAACATTCATCAAAATTTTGGTTCAGTTAGAAAATACTCCCATATAAAAAATTCTATGAAATTTCAAATACGTACCATTAGCCATTTTTAAATTATCATGCGCGCAATGTGGAAACATGACAAAATATTTTGTCACAAAGCGGATTAATTACAAAACTATTTGTGGCAACACAAACTATCTAGTTACTATTTCCTAAAACAGCTATATTATGTAGTCAGCTGTAAAAAGTTGGAAGTAATTGCTTTTAAAATAAATAAAATATCTCAATTCTTGCAACAGTGACATATTCGAAGATCATAAAGGGTTTAAGGTGTATGAGTCCCCTTAAAATAGCAACCATAACAAACGATTTATGCCACAAACAAACTGAAGAAACTTAAAATAAACGGAATGCCGGAAGCTCACTGGATAGGTTCGCAAGTTGCTCATTTACAAGCCTATTCTTTATCCACTTTGTGTTATGCAAGTCCAGTTTGGGCATATATCAAGAAAACTAATAGAAAAAAATTGGAAGTATGCCAAAATTCTGTTCTAAGACAAATTGTAAATGCTGAATGGTATGTACGAAAATAATAGAATACACGGAAGAGTTAGACGTTGAGTTACTGCACACTCACTATCAGAAATTAGCAAAGAATTTCATGAAAGGCAGCAAAATATTGATAATCCCAGCATTCAAATCTGTGATTACATCGATAATAGCTTAGAGAATATGGATAGGCCTATGGCGCAATTAAATATATGGATCATGTAAATATACAACTTTAATAATTTGGAATTTGTGCTTATTTTTGTAAATATTATCGGCCCTCATATCTGCTAGTCTTCAAATTTTCTGTTTGCATTCCCATTTGTGTGTGTGTTATAAGTATGTGTACATAATTATTCCATGATCATGAGTAAATAACTTGTAGATCTATTAGGGTAACTCGAAAAGCCAGAGAGGTGAAAAATTAGCCATCATCCACAACCCTTTTAGTTCAGGATCACCTGTAAAGACATTAGGTTAATTCAAAAAGCCAGAGAAATGAAAAATTAGCAACGCCTTCGCCGGGAATCGAACCGCAGACCTCTGGTATACCGGCTCAGCGTGCAGAACCACCACACCACGAAGGCATGCTAGGAAAGCGAGTGAAATACTTTATAAATTGATATTTTGTAATTGATAATTTTTAATGGATTCAATTTGCCTTTGTTTGCATTACCTTATCCTTGTCACAGTCGCCAGTTCTACAGCTTCTCTGTTCGCCTTAATTTATATATTAATTTTCGAAATAATCAAACTATTCTACAAGGGGTAAGGTCTTGTTGCTCAGGCACCCTGGTGTCTCAACACCGTTCCACGGAGGAGTGGATAGGTTCGCCAGGGTGCGAGACCGTATATCAGGAACTCTTTTAAAATGTGTGTTGTTTTTAAATAGTTAGCTTTTGTGCTGTTGAACTGTGTATTGTATAAATTCGAAGAAAGTCATTCTTAATAAAAATGCTAAAAAAGACAAAAAAAAAAAAATATGCTAGCAAGACCGAGTGCAGCAGCAGACTGGTAGACTGCAAGCTCAGCTAGAGAGGAGGGTCGAGACTTAAAAAGCCTTTTGTGCGACTGTTGAAATCTGAAAGTTTCATATTTCTTTTATTTTTAATTACTTTTTTTACTTTTGTTTTGGCAGGCGAGTCCATAGGATCGCAAGGTCAGCTTCGATGAACTTCTGTGGGCTGAACTTCTTTCCAATGAATAAGTAAATTAATGAATAAAAAGCTTATTTCAAATCATATTGCTTCTTATTAATAAAATGTAGACTATATAGTGTTTTGGGGAGTAAACCGCTGAGTTGGCTTCCGACCCAGGTATAGAAATATCCATTCAGAATTGGTTACCAACTCAGCGGGAGTTAACAACTAGTTGCCAGGCCACAGCCCCTGGCTGAGCAGACAACATTTATAAAATGCAAAAAATAAATATACATGTGCATACAAGGCACTTGAAGAAGAGTACAATCAAAGCATATGTATATACATATAAATATCAACTCAGATACAGATAAATACACACTTACATACATATATATTCCGAAACAAATAAATAAATATAATAATAATAGTATGCATACTCTCACTCATATTCATATATACATTTATACAAATATACGTTATCATGATAGTTAAAGTTTACATGAAGCATGACATTGAGGTACGCATGACCCTTAGTATAAATAAGGTATAATTAACAAAAGATATAAACATGTACAGATATAGTACAGCATTCAGATACGGTACAAACTTTGTGTATGAAAACCTGGAACACTATAAATACAAAATTACATATCGAACATACATATCACATACTCTGTTGCTGACATATTGAACTAGCTTAAATAGTTCTAACGTGTATGCTGCTATGCTTTGCAGAACAAGTATTCTGTCTTCAGGTCAATAAATGTGCCAGTTCAAGAAAAGTTAAGGCCATACTGAAGGTGCGATGTCTATTTCTAAGAGAACTGTGCTTAGAAATGGCATTGTTAGAACCTAATGTGTGTTAGACACGACTAAAGTTTGTACCTTATGGCTACAAATAAATAAATTGACGCTGGAAAAAACTTCGGTTATCGTCCAGCGTGAGAAGAGTAATTGTTAGTACAGTAGTCAATTATTGTTTTCACTTTCTGCTGGGCAACTTTGTTACTTTGTAGATTCTGGAATCAATTTGCCCAGAATCTGGCTCCTGGTTGCTTGAGGCTGTTAAGTGCTGTGTGGGGGCAAGAGAACACAAAATGGTCTGAATGGCCTACCTCCCCACATTTACAGTTACCATTCTCTCTCAAGTTACCATTCTCACCTAAGCAACAGAGGTATGAAGGGAAAGGCCCATACCAGTGAGGAAATACGTCATGTAATTGCAATTAGTTTGGATTGTTGTCTTGACCTTGGGAATGAAATTGTAAACACGCCTCCCTGTGGAGGCTTGATCCCAACCTTCTTGCTATATTCCTAGGAGCTGATGAAATGTCCGACTCTTTAGGTCCTAGACTGGCCTAAGGGTCGGGACTTCTCGCAAAGTGGATGAATCCGCTGCTTCCTTTGCGACAACATCTGCTCTCTCATTTCCTTCTATTCTCGCATAAGCGGGCACCCAGACGAGTGAGGATCTTTGCGAAGCAGGCATGTGGGTTAGAATGTCTCTAATGCTGCTGACGATAGGACTGAGAGAACGAATTCCAGCTATCGCAGCGAGGCTTGAGGCTGAGTCTGTGTAGATGATATTGGGCACTGTAGGATTATTCTTCAGATGGAGAAGAGCTGCTCTGATTGCTATGAGCTCCGCCTGAAAGACAGTTTTCAGAAGCGACCTTTCTTTTCCACTCATGCGATAAAGCTCCTCCAGAAAGTATACAGAATCCGCTTCTCGTGCCCCGTGGAGTTTTAGAAGCCTACTAAAGTACCGAAGGGCCTGGGTTCGAATCCCGGAGAAGACATGGATGTTTGTAAATATATCGAGTTGGTGTGGCACGGCGGTACTCTGAATATGCGGCGAGTCCTATCGTGTGAATTAGTGGGAGAGGAGAGGGGTGGGATACCCCGGACCTTGCTCCCCTCGGCGTGCTCTTCCTCAAAATTGGGTGTAGAAATTATAATTCCAGCCTTTCTTCGGAGTAGGCTCTGGCAACCATTGTTCCATGTAACATGGACAAGACAACAAATGAGTTTTTTATCTTTGTCGTGTCTAAAACTGTTTTAAATGGTTAAAATATTCACACAGTATTACATTTAAAACAATTGAATGGTATTTGGGAACTTAAAATCATACGCTAGAAATAAGAGTAAATGGTAAATGCAGAATTTCCAGTTAAAAGTTTCTAGGGTTTATCTATTTATTTTTAACTAATTGTTCATTTTAAGTTAGCACTTTCCTGTTACTCTTTCCACCCACGTTTTTCATGTAAATGAGATCGCGAGAGTTTTTTTAGATTAAGATAAAAGGAAGTGATATTAATCAAGTGTTTCGGAAGTTAGTTTTCGAGCGTGTCTGCCTATTCCAGGCCATGTCGTACAGTGATTATTAGCGACTAGCGTTAGCGGCATTGAGTGTTTTAGCCATTTGGCTTTGTCTCACCGGTTTACTACAAACTAGAGCTTTCCCTGCGCGTTCAAGTATTCTGTGAGCTGTTAGGCTAATCAACCATACTTTGAAATTACTATTTGTTACGCATTTAAGCTAAAAGGGCGTGGCTGATTGTAACCCAAGCTGGGTCATTTGTTAATTTTATGTTTGAATGAAAAGGGTCTTATACACCTTTCTTCTGATTTCTGTTTTGTTTTACAAGGGCTAGAAAATAATTCTTCAATAGTCCTTTTAAAAGTCTTTATTCTCAAAGACTCATAGAACTTAGAAGTTAAAATATAAATATACTCAAAAACCAAAAATAAAAATATCTCGTTTCTATGAAACTTATATACAGATTATGCAGTTCGAAAAATATTAATGCCGATGACAACGTATGGTGTGAAACAAAAGAAATAAATACATACTTCATTGGGACAAGTCTATATAATAATAAAATCTAAGCATAACATTAAAAGAAAGCCTTCATCTCCCGTTAACCCTTCTTTTTTTTCCTTTTTTCAGCTTAATTATTAATCATCATTTTCTTTGCATTTAACGCCTTTTCTTGCAATTCATTAAATTGTTTTTTAAAAACAACGTATGTTTAGAATTCCCGATGCTGTGTTAAGTGTTGCATAATTTGTTTCTATTTTTTTCAGTCTTTTTCTCAGTTTATGTTCAGTTTTCTTAGAAAGATGGATTACAAAACTTTTTTTTTTAGATTTTGATTATTATCATTTGTGTGTTAACTTTATTTATTAAAAATCACCTTCTTGGCACTAACGCCACATAAAACTCAATTCAAGAGCAAGATCACAAAATATTTAAAAACAGCATATCTTTAGATAGTACTTAGATTTATTTAGTACAGTGCTGCCGCTGCTCGCTTTTAAAACGTTGAGTTTGTTAATCAAAAATTCATGAAAGTTTTACAAATTATGAACAAATCATAAGCAATATGTATTGTCGGTCTGGGAAAATGTTAAATATTTTTAATTAGATAATCATGAACTAACATGCATTTTCATTATTGAAATCCATCTGATTCAAGAGTAAGAAACGAACAGTCTTAAGAACGTCACCTATTGTTTCAAATATCATTCTTTGTTAAAGAACTTCACCTATTACTTTCAAATAGCTTTCTTTATTAATATACAACAATTTGAGAGATTATATATTGTTACGAAATTTCCAGGCGCGGTAAGGTGGCTTTCCCTCAGGGCAGTTTTAGGGTTGCCATGAAATGGCAAGGTTGCACCATTTAGCGAGAAATCGCCCATTTAGCGACAAAATTGTCGATATGCCACAGACGGATGGAGAACCTTCTGGAAGGAATTCTTACTGGTGTAGCCCAGAATGTTCTCGAACACAAGCCGTAATCTATATAAAGCCTGCTGGTCCGCAGTCAGTTAGTGAGTACCTCGTCGAGAGGGCGAGACAGAGAGTGCCTCGTCTAGAGTGCGATCCCTGCGGACTCAATCCCGAGTTGACAGCCGGGCAGCGAGTGCCGAGTGGATCGTCGAGTTCCCTGAAGGAGTTTCTTAGCGTATCGCGGTTAGTGCATCGTCGAGAGAGCGTGTTGAGCTCCTGAAACGACTGAACACAAGGGTCGGGGCCGTGCTCTGTGTGTCGTCGAGTGCATCGCGAGTTGCAGCTTGGAGAGTCTCGAGAGTATGTGGAGTTCCGAAAACGACCGAACAGAGTCGGGAGCTGTACTCTGGTGCTTTGCAGTGAAGCTGTCTTCACCGTGATAGCCTGGTAACCTTGAGGTTGTGTCGCTGATTGTTCCAGCGAGTGTTTATACTAGATCTTCGACGACTGTAAAAGTGACTTTGGAACTGTCTTGATTAAATATTGGCCCAGTAAAGTGTGTTTCGATACTTCATCAAGTGTCGTCGTTATTCACTCCAAATCTAGGAACCTCGTACGAACATGAAGGAAGAAAACCATCTAACAGCTGGTGTCAGAAAAAAAAAAAAAAAGCAACAATATCTTAAATTTTGCTTAATGGCAACAGACTCGAATGAAAAGTGAAACGAAGCATTTATAACAATTTGACGCAAAATCCCGTTTCGCGACTAATAATGTTATACGCTATATACTATACGACTGTTATTAATAATTTTAATTATAACAGTATATTTTTTTTAAATTTTTCTATCTGTGGCATGGATAAAAGATGCACATGTATTTAAAATAACATCCAAACCATCTCCTTTGTGAGGTTTTCTTTAAAAGCATACTAGGTCATAAAAATATGAAGAGATATATTGAAACAATTCATCGGAAGGTGAAAAAAAACTATTTGACTTTTTGAGGAATGCTTATAAGGATAGCTCCCCGGTGCGTAAGACATCACAAGTCTCAAAAACCGAAGTTGTTCTTATAAGAATTTCGCCTGGTATTTTATTTTTGTGACAAGTCAACACTGGTCCCAATTCTTTGAAATGTTTATTCCTCCCCTGTGTTTTAAGGCTGAAACAAGGGGAAAAAGATGTATTGTCAAATTTTTATTTTTTTAAACTTTTATTTTACTGGCGCTTGCTTTATTTCACTTCTTTGCTCAGAAAGTTAATTTTTGGATAAAATAACGATGTGTCTGTCTTCTCTGATTTCTTTCAAAAGCAAGTGTGGAACAACGGCTACATTTAAAATATTTTTTATATATGTGGG